ATGCTGCTGCCAAAATGGCCCTGACCAAAGAGTTGGACTTGGTGCAGACTATCTCCTTGGACGGGCACCAGTCCGTGCGTGAGCAACGTGACCTACTTTGGCTGTTTTGGAGGTACTTGCTGCAATTGTCCCAGGGGGAGGTACGCCTCATGGACACCTGTAAAAGCTCTGCCCCTGAAGTGCTTCCTGCTGCAGTTCCTGCGAATGCTCCGTCATTGTCCAGCTGGCTATCTTTGGACCCTGGCCCTTTCAGCAATTGGGGTCTCCCCAGCCCGGACCGAGCCTGGTTACTTGCAGCCTCCTGGCCTCCGTGGTTTACATTGCCATTGTGGTCCTGGCTCCAGGGGTCTTGCTGGTCGCAGTACTGTTATAAGTCACGTACTCCACATGGCACAAGCTACATCGAGCTCTTGCTTGACTTTGTGTTCACAGCCGGTATTTGCCCACCCGCTTCCCTGGAAGCTGCTGGGCAAATGCCTGAAGCCCCTGAGGATCTGACTGAGCCAGTTGCGGTCCGCCAGATGATCAATTGTTTCGTCCAAGCTGTGCGGCAGCTGGAACGACTCTCTCGACACAAGGTGTGGCCGCTGAGACGCAAAAAGGTCTTCGCCCTTCGGGCGCTTGGGTTCGAGGAGCCGCGGATTGGTGTGGAGTCCAGGCTGCAGCTATCTCGACCGATGGAGCTGGGATCAATGTTGCTGCGTACCTTGCATGAAGGCAGTGCGCAGGCCATAGTCGACTTTGTACGAGGATTAGGCAAGAAGCCTCATCCGGACATCTCGCTCCAGAAAACCTGGCAGCGGCAGACAGCCAGCGACCGTGCCAAAATTGGCCGGATGCTGACCAAGTGAGACGCGTCATGCGGATCGAGGGGTGTGGAGTCGCATCTGCTGGCCCACTGCCCCTTCTCTCCACCGGTGAAAGGTTTAGGGTTTTGGGATCTCTAAGGGCTCTACAAGTGTTCTATAAAGGGTTCTAGAAACGCTTCCATGAAGGGTTCGCCCAAGTGCTTCTAGATTTTTTTTTTCAGGGTGTTGGGCTTCGGCTCAGAGTTCAGGTTGAAGATGGGTTTAGGGTTCAGGGCCGTTTAGGGTGCCTTCAACATTTCCTTTTAGGCTTCTGCTTCTGTAATCTGGGCTAGGTGTCGGGTTTAGGGGCAGTGATTTGTGGGTCGTTCGGATGTCAGGGTTCAGGATTTTGGGTGGAGGGGTTCGGGCTTACGGGTCTGAAAGGGCTCTTACAGCGCAACCGATTGGATTTGTAGAAGGACTTGCTACTTGTGATTGCACAGACCAGGCCCAGAAGCTTCCTTACTTAACGGATGATGGGACTTCACAACTAGGCTTAGACACAAGGTAGCTATACTTATAATTGCTTATAACACTAATTAAGGGGTGTCTATAGCCTTACTACAGAACCCTTATAAATCCCTTATAGGGAACCTGTCAGGAACCCTTTAAGAGCACTAAGCCTCTTGATCCTCCAAGAAGGGTCTCGCATTCCCAACTCAAAACCCTACACCCTACACCCTAAACCCTCAACCCTAAACCCTAGACCCTAAACCCTCAACCCTAAACCCTCAACCCTAAACCCTTAACCCTAAACCCTTTTGGCTGACGGCGTAGGGAGTCAGAGGTCCAGGCTTTAGAGAGTTTCAGAGAATGACGGGCTTCTACCCCCCCCCCCCCGACCCAAAAAGCTTCGAAAACCCGGAATCCAAACCCTACTTGGAGGTTCATGGGTAGTGACAAGTGGGGTTATAAGTAGGGTAGCTATATTTATAACTTATAACCCATATTAGGGGACTTCTTAACCCTACTTCTCGCTACCCATGAGCCTCCGAAGTGAATCCAATCCCTATACCCGAAGCCTGCTTTGCTTCCCGCTGTAGCCCCCACAAGCATGCCCGAAGCCGCAAACCTTGCTCAAAGAGCCCAACTTCGAGTTTTGGGTTTTAGGGTTTTAGGGGTCTTCGCACTGTTTGGTCGGCTTCTTGTTTTTTTCCGCTGCAGGATTTACTCGTGAAAAAGGGGGCAAACTGAGGTCAGAGGGTTCCTAAGCCCTACTTGCTAAACCCGACTTCCTGAGCCCTACTTCCTGAACTCTGAAAAGGAGCTTAGTTTTGCAGCCCTATCATTTTCCATAGATCGCCATTATGGTAAAATACACTAGATCCCTTAAAAAGAACCCAGACTTCCGCAGCCTTACTTCCTAACCCACAGCTCCAGAGACAAAGTAAGCACCCAGAGCCCTAAACCCCAAACCCCAAAGCCTGGACATTGCACCCTAAGCCCTAAACCCCCAGATCCTAAACCCTAAACCCTAGAGCCTAAAACCTTAAACCCTAAACCTAGGCCCTAAGCCTTAAACCGCATTGAATCTCTGAATCCTCAACCCTCCAACAGCCCAAAAGTTTAGGGTTTAGGGTTGAGGTTTTAGGGTTTAGGGTTGAGGGTTTAGGGTTCAGGGTTCAGGGTTTAGAGTTTAGGGTTTAGGGTGCAGGTATGTATTGACCCCAAAACCTTGAACCTTCAACGCTTAAGCCCTAAACCCTTCTTTGCAAAAACAAATCCACCAACAAACTCCAGCCCTTAAGCTACCCTGAAACCCATGGAAGGGTTTAGGGTTTAGGGTTTCCGAACCGAAACCCCCTCACAAAAACCTACCCTAATCTCTAAAGCAGCAAGCATCCCCAGAGAAGATTCAGTAGTTACAGGAGCGTGCCTACGAAGTGGGTGTCTCCCGGTGGATTGGCCGGGGTCCAAGGGTTACCAAGGACCGACACGTTCTTTAGTTTCTTCAAGTTTCTTTGGCGAGGGGGTAGTGGTGAGGGTTAAGCAAGGGTTTAGTTTCTTGTTGAGGGGAGGAGGGGGGGTCAAGAATTGTACTGAGTTCCGTGTAGGTGTTTTGCTGGTTTCTCAAGGGTTTGCCATGGTCTCATAGCGGCTTTGGGGGGTTTAGAGCCAGGGTGTTAGGGTGTAGTTTTCAGGGCGCAGCGTTTTTTTTTGAGGGGGATTTTAGGCCAGGCTCTTCTATAAGAAATCTAAGGCGCTCTAAGAGTCTAAGCCCCAAGCTGTTCCCGGTTGGATTAGTCCCCAAACCCTAAACCCTAAAGCCTAAACCCTAAACCCTAGATTCGTTGTTGATTGCCTCTTTGACTCTGTAGGAAGTCTTGGAGCGTTCGACCGGTTCAGGTAGAGGGCCTTTGGGACTCAAGGGAGGTTGTAGGGTTTGGGTGGTTAGGGGTTTAGGGTTTAGGGTGTTTAGGGTTTGGGGGTTGTAGGGTTTGGGTGTTTAGGGTTTAGGGTTTGGGGGTTGTAGGGTTTGGGTGTTCAGGGTTTAGGGTTTGGGGGTTGTAGGGTTTGGGTGTTTAGGGTTTAGGGTTTGGGGGTTGTAGGGTTTGGGTGTTTAGGGTTTAGGGTTTAGGGGTTAGGGTTTGGGTGTTTCTGGTTTCATCGTTCAGGGTGCCACCCCTCTAAGCCGTAAGCCCTAAACCGTCAACGGCTTATCGTGGAGCTTCCCTTTCTGATCTTTGTGCATCAGCCGACGGAGCGATCATGGAGCTGCTTTAGAAGCTTAGATAACTTCATAACAAGGAACCCCTAAAAAGGTAGGTTCTTCAGTGTACCGTTAAGGACTTATACTACTATAAAGAATTCATAATAAGGAGCCCCTATAGAAGCTTATGTGGGTGGTTCTCTAAAATGGGGTCCCTTTTGGGAACCTGTTTACAAGGCTGCCGTGCTATGTTGGGGATCAGAAAAGGGACCCTGATTTAGACTGAGGGCTCCTTATTATAACTTTACGATACAAGGGCCCAAACCCCATTCTGATCATGAAGGCCCCCCCTAAACCCTAAGCCCTAAACCCTAAACCCTAAACCCTAAACCTTAAACCCTAAACCCTAAGCCCTAAACCCTAAAGCCTACCCCTGGCTAGACTCAAGATCCGATCCGCGGAGAGAGCTTCCTCTTGACAGCGGCGGTAGGGTTTAGGGTTTAGGGTTTAGGGTTTAAGGGTTCAGGGGTTTAGGGTTTAGGGTTTAGGGTTCTTGGGGTTTAGGGTTTTTTGGGGTTTAGGGTTTAGGGTAGTTCTCTAAATGAGGGTCTTTTGGGATCCCCAATATTCTCCTGGATTTGGCAATTCTTTCATGGAACATGGAGCCTTTGGGCCAAGTGTTCACGGTTTAGGGTTCAGGGCCTAGGGTTCAAGGTTTAAAGTTCAGGAGCTGGGGTTCAGGGTTTCAGGTTTAACGGCCCTGGGTTCAGGGTTTAGGGTTCCGGGCCCAGGGTTCGTATCATAGAGTTCAGGGTTATTCTGGGGTTTTGGCATCGGGTTTAGTAGTTCAGGATGTAGGTTTTAGGGTTTAGGATCTAAGCTCTAGGATTAATGAAACATCTGGTTTCTCACTGTTGAGGGTTCCTGGGTGGGTGGGTATTTTTCTAGGTTCGAGATAGCGAGCTCGACTAGAGACTGCTCGATCCGGAGCTGCTGAACCCAAACCCTGAACCCCAGGCCCTTCCCAGACGCTTAAGGCCCTAAACCCTAAACCCTTAAAGCCCTAAGCGCCCTAATTCCTTAAAGCCCTAAACCCTTAAAGCCCGTAAAGCCCTAAACGCCCTAATGCCTTAAAGCCCTTAAAGCCCTAAAAGCCCTAAAAGCCCTAAACCTTAAACCCTAAACCCTTAAAGTCCTAACCCTAAACCCTTAAAGAGCCCCAAAAGCCCTAAACCCTAAACCCATAAAGAGCCAAAAGCCCTAAACCCTTAAAGAGCCCTAGAATCCCTAAATGCCCTAAACCCTTAAAGTCCCAAAAGCCCCAAAAGCCCTTAAAACCCTTAAAGCCCGAGGCCCTTGAAGCCCTAAAAGCCCTAAACCCTAAACCCTTAAAGCCGCAAAAGCCCTTAAAAGCCCTAAACCCTAGACCCTTAAAGAGCCCCAAAAGCCCTAAACCCTAAACCCTAAACCCTTAAAGAGCCCCAAAAGCCCTAAACCCTAGACCCTTAAAGCCGGTTTAACTTAAATAGCCCTTAAAGTTGAAAAGCCTTAAAACCCTCAACGCCCTAAAAGCCCTTAAAGAGCGCTTAAAGAGCCCAAAAACCGAACTTTCCGGAAGTCGCTTCATGGCCCAGGCCTCTCCTGGCTCGACGAGCTCCAGGGGCGTCAGGGCCCCGAACGGTTTGGGGCTTTAGGGGTTTAGGGTCTAACGTTTAGGGTTTAGGGTTTTTTTCCGGTTTAGGGTTTAGGGTTTTTGGGGTTCAGGGTTCAGGGTTTAGGGTTTAGGGTGGCGTGTATATGTATATATATGTATATATATATATATATATTTTTTTTTGTTTTATTTAATGCATATGGTCTTAGAACTTTAAGCGTTTGTGGTTTCAGGTTTTTGGTTTAGGAGTGTGAGGCAAGGTTCACTTTCGTTCGCGTTTTTTGGAGGCTTACGGGCTTAGGTTCTTACGGCTCAGGGTTTTAGGTGTTTTAAGGTTCCAAAGTAGGTCTTTTTTGGGGGGTACCATATAGGGTTTGGGGTTTAGGGTTTTTGGGGTTTAGGGTTTTTGGGGTTTAGGGTTTGGTTCGTAGGGCTCAGGGCGGGTGTAGAAGGGGGGCATCTGGTGAGGCTTCACGCGTAGCTTGTAGGGTTGAGGGTCGAGTCGGCCGGGTCTTAGTATGGGTATTATTCTTGTCTCCGGGATCTTCATGAACAGTAAGCCCTAAGCCCTTAAACCCTCAACCCTCAACCCTAAACCCTAAAGCCCTAAACCCTGAACCCTAAACCCTGAACCCTCAACCCTAAACCCTAAACCCTAAGCCCTAAACCCTAAAGCCCTAAGCCCTTAAGCCCTTAAAT